GACGTTTGGCGGCCAGTTAGCGCTGGAATCAGTACGGCGATTTCAATATACGAGGGTGGGTCGCAGAGAGCTTCGCTTGGGCCATTTTCTGTAAAGCTTTCGGCCACCAAGCAATTGCACCATAATTGATCATTGGTCTGACAATCATCACGTAAATCCAATGTGTTTCTTCGGGACCTAAGCCCCAAGTATTACCACAAATCCTTCGACATGTCCATAGACACAGTCTGGCTTTGTGTAAAACTTTTTCCAAGTGAGCGTTCCAGGTGACTCTTTTATCAAAGACAATGCCAAGATATTTCACCTCCGTTCCAAATGGAATGACCTCACCATTGAGGAAAATTGGCGTTAGATCGTACAATTTTCATCTCTTGGTGAAGGAGATTAACACAGTTTTGCTGGGGTTGACAGACATAAGCTCCCTCAGGCACCAACTGTGAACAATGTCCAATGTGCTTTGGAGGATTTTACAAGCTACCCTTCCCGACGTGGACTTTGCCAGGATGACAAGGTCATCTGCATAAGCTTGCAGATGAACTTCTCTTCTGTCGAAGACATCAAGCAGATTATCAATCAGGGGCGACCACAGAACGTGAGATAGTACCCCACCTTGGGGGCAGCCCCTGGTGACCCTGAACCTGATAGCCTCGCCTTGAAGAGTCGTAGTTGCAGTTTTTTTTTACTAGCAAGGCATAGATCCAGTTATGGTCAATTATATACCCTTCCTAGCCAGAGACAATCCTATAGATTTAGATAGTGCATTGTCAAATGCTCCTTTAATATCAAGAAATACAGCAACCGCAATCTTCTTGTTGTCAAGGGATCAGTATCCTCTCAAGTCCTTTAGTGGAAAGGATGTAAAGCTAATTGGTTGTATCGCTTTAGGGTGTAGGTGTCTCCGACCCACTTTTGGTATATATACCACCCTTTCTGTCAACAAACTGGGTGGTATGTAGTTCCACGCCAGACTAGCTCTATACAATTTTGTGAGAATGGATGAAATTTTTTCCCGTCCGTTTTGAAGAAGAGCTGGAAATATACCATCCTCTCCGGAAGATTTGTTATCTATTAAAAAACTTTGTATTTCAATTTTCCTCGAGTTTTTATTCGGTACTTTGATGAGCTGTCGCGAATGATAGGAAGCGTTGTCAAGAACTGTTACACAATTTGCATCCAAATTTGGGATCAATGTGTTTTCAAACCATTTCTCGAAAATATTAGCTTTTACGTTCTTGTGATACGGTGTTTCGAATCNAAAATACATAGATAGGACTTGTTCTCATTCAAAGCATTATTTAGTTTCGTGGTTAGGGCCAGCTTTGCATCTTCTGTTAACGTGTTTTCTTTAAAACCAAACTGCTTGTCAGATAAAATTTTATATTTTTCAATGTACGTAGTCAACCTTTTCTTTATTAATTTCTCGAAAATTTTTGATAAGTGAGTTAATAATGATATGGGTCTGTAATTATCTACTTTTGTTTTATCACTTTGAAGTGGTATTATAATGGAGTTTTTGGAGGCTGACGGCAATACACCATTTTCTGTGCATTTATTGAATATGTGAGATAATGGTTTCATAATGAAATCTCCAATAATTTTGAGAGTTTCAGCTCTAATTCCGTCTATTCCAACTGATTTCTTTGAAAACGTGATCTTGAAGATATTTGAGAGTTGTATAAGGGTCCAGAACATTCGAGAACATTCAAGAATATCGCAGATATTTTGGGAACGTTCCATATTATTGTGGAATATCAAGTAGTGTGGTAGCCATATTTGCTTTATCCACAAAGAAGGTTTCCATTTTTTCCTGAAGGGTAACGATCTGTGGCATCATGAAATAATTAAGGAAATTATACGCTATGATAGCACTATACTCCTATCCAAGAAGAAGATTGCCGTCTTTACCTAAACCTTGAAGATGTATCTCTATAAATTTATAGAATAGTTTAGAAAATCAAACAGTCCAAATCTTACCTGTTTGGTAGTGGAAAAACTGTGAAATGTTGGGACACATAGTAACTTGTCACACCTGCTCATAAAAAGTTATTCAAAAATACTCCCAAACAGTTCGCAGAGCTTGTTTCTACGACAATCAAACATAAAACTTTAATCACCAATGCTCGTTATAAGAGTTCACTAGCAAATAATCTGAAACAAAAAACAGGTGTCTTTTCATAACTTCATAAATCATAAGAGGAAAAAAACGCCATTTTTCGTGACCCGCTCGATTCCCTATTCATGAAAAAATAACATCCAATACCTTTATTATATTACTCAGATACGTAAGGGTCGTTACATTTTTTATCGCGTGACCGAATTTTCCTTCACTTATTATACCTAATAAATGTTAATTGAATAATGTATCATGATTTATATCAGTTCTTGACGAAAACTGATACTCATATTTTTTTATAACGTAATAACAGGTTGGTGAAACTTTTATAATTTCATTTCGTCTTTCGTTTTTTAGTTCAGGAAATGGTCTGTTATCAGATTGGTAGGCGGATGCGTTTTTATCATTAAAAGTTCCTTCTACAATTTTAGTAAATGTTTCCGAGTGGGTTCCTTTGATTGAGTAATCATACACAGTGTGAGTCAACAAGAATCTCACGGTCTATTTCTATCAGGGAAAACAATTTTTTGAATTGCTCATTTTTTTCGCAGTTATTTCGATTAATACAACCTTTTAAAATTATTTTTTTGCATACTGGATAATTCAGCCGAGCGTGACCAACAAAAGTTATAGTTTTTAAATAGAACACCCAGTATATAAATACGTCATTCGATACCACATTTTTTCAACTCTCCGACGAATTTTTGTTTTCGAATTTCCATTGCGGCATTGCCAAGTTATTCCAGAGAAACCTATTTTGCGTACAATATTTTTTTAATTCACCACCTGGATATCAACAGAAATAAAGTTGATTTTTTCAAGAATAGTTAGTCAGTATCACTATGATAATTTTGGGAATTTCAACCTTTGGAAACAAAATACAGCGTGACACACGGTCGATGGTAGGTTAGA